ACCACGTGCTGTCTTATCCTTATCCATCTCCACCCTCTGCCTCAGATGTCCTCACCCATTTTTGCCATCAACATTTTATCCATTTTTAAAGCTTTACCCGGATGCCACCTATCCCCGCTAGCATGAGTCCTACCCACGTATGCATATGTGGCATTTCATTTGGTGTGCCCTTGTGCGAGCTCTCACTTTGCTTCGTCTCCGTGTGGTGTCCATGCGCTTGTAGTCATCTTTCCAACAAGCTCATAGAATCTGTGGGTCCAGACGAAATCCGATCGCACCCATCTGTGTCGTAGCACCTAGCACGCTCCCTAGTTATTCTCCCAGTCTCCGTGTCTTTTGGGAGGGTTTCTGTGACTATTCAATAACATGGGTTATTTGAATTGGGTGTGGTGTCTCCATTTGGGCACAATCAATACTCAATCAAGGTTAGCGACCGAGGAGATGGTGTGTCTGACCTCATCTGGCTACATCAAGGAGGAGGAGAAGCCAGCCCCACATCTGTCCAGAGAGGGTGCCTGTGAGGCAGAGCTCAGACGCACGGCCACCGTCCCTCCTTCTTTATCCTGTTCTGACCCCACTCACCCCTTCCTGGCACGCTCCTTCTTGATAATTTATTGTAATGGCCACCCGGAACAGACAACACTGTCGACGATGGAGTCTGGTAGGGAAGCTCCCAGGCTACCAGACGGAAAGCACACTGTCCCTCCATCCGCAATGCATCTTCTCAGCCAGGCTGGCAGTCCCGGTGCTCTCTGGTCCTTGGCCTCTGCCTCCAAAATATCTGTGGAAGCTACTTGCAATAATGTCACCCTGCTCTCGGCTGTGCGTGCCTCCTGGTGATGCCATCAATCTTGTTCACCCGATGCCACGTCTTCCATTGTTACCTGTGCTCCTTCCTCGGCAGATGCTGTTAGGTTAAATTTTAATATCATCATCTGATCTCCCTCTTGACTACTGTACGTTTGTTTCAGTTTTTAGTATTTTCTGCTTTCTTTTTGAGATGTTTCTCTTTGGTCTGGTCATTATTGCTGGGTTGGTTTGTTTATTTGCTTGCTTGCTTCCTGATTCTGTCTGGTATGATTTTCTGCCTATGCACTCCAGGATCGGTAGATCAAAGAGACAGTAACTGGATTGATAATTGCCTGGGGTGTGGCAGGGGAGAATGGGGGCGGCGGGCTTGGGAGCTAACCACAATGAGCATGAGAAGAAAATGTTCTGAAATTGGTTGCGGTGATAATTGCACAACTCTTCTTAATATGATGGAACAATTATGGTGTATGATATGCGAAGTATATGCCAATAAAACTACCAAGAAAGGAAGGGAGGGAGGGAGACAGGAAAGAAAGAAACAAACAAACAAAGTAAGAAAGACAGAAGAGAGGCCAGCCAGGAGTGCAGCACATCCTCCGGGCCTGGATCCAGGAGCGGGAGAGTTGTGCAGCCAGAGATGGCAGAGAAGTGGTGACGGCAGAGACCGCAGAGCCAAGACCATGAGACAGAGCAGTGGGCTTCCAGGCTCCGGGAGGGAGGGAGGGAGGGAGAAAGCCCAGCGCCTTTGGGCTGCCTGCAGGCATGTAGTGAGGTGGGGGTTGGGGTTAAGTTTGTGGCGCTAGAGTTGAGCATCTACAATCTGAGTCTCACAGGACGCATGGGTGCTTAATGGGAAGAGCTACATGCGTAAGCAGGGCCGAAACAAGGAGCACGGAGGAGAGGGGCCAAGAATGAAAGTAGTTTTGTAACGCTGGCCCCAGGGAGCCAGAGGCTGAGGACCTGGGTGTATCTGCAAGTACATCAGGAGGAGGCTGTTCTGGACAGAGGGCTCCTGATCCTGAACTGAAACCAATTAGCTCCTAATGAACTCCGCAGTGGTGAGCACAGCCATGGAGTTCTGGGCGGCTGTTGCAACAAATGATCAAACCCAACAGAGAAGGGGGTCTGCCCGAATCAAACCCAACAGAGAAGGGGGGTCTGCCCGGATCAAACCCAACAGAGAAGGGGGGTCTGCCCGGATCAAACCCAACAGAGAAGGGGGGTCTGCCTGGATCAAACCCCACAGAGAAGGGGGGTGTGCCTGGACGGTTGCTGTTGTGAGAATTGGTAGAGGGCCTGGGGTGCAGGCAAGTCTGACCTTCCTCTCAGAGGAGGTCCAATGCTGCCTCCACACTATTTTACAGCTACTAAGCCAAATGCTGGGACCCCTTGTGGTGTAGTGGGTAATACCCTGAGCTGCTAATTACAAGGTCAGGAGTTCAAAACCACCAGCCTCTCGGAGGGAGGAAGATGAGGCTTTATACTCCCATCTCAGAAACCCTATTCTGTTCTGTTGGGTTCCTATGCGTCGGGATTGACTTGATGGCCGTGAGTTTGGGATTTATTATTATTATTTGGGGGCGGGGGGAGGACCAAAAAGGCTGTCGGTTTGAGTCTACCCAGCAAGAAAGGCCTGACAACGTACTTCCAAAAATCAGCCTTGGAAAACCTGTGGTGCCCAGTTCTGTTCTGCCTCACATGAGGTCTCCGTGAATAAGAGCCGATTCAATAGCAACTGGTTTTTCAATCCTGCCTGGGCGCAGACCTATGTATTCCCAGAGATGGATCGACTTCTTCTTGTCTTTCTCCTCCACTAGGATGGAAACCCCCATGAGGATTGGTTTGTCCTAGTGTCTGGCACACAGCACCAAACCAAAATCTCGCTGCCATCAAGCTGATTCTGACTTTTGGTGACCCGCTAGGACAAGGTGGAACTGCCTGTGGGCTTCTGAGGCGGAAACTCCTTATGGGAGTCGAAGGCTTCATCTTTCTCCTGTGGAGTAGCTGATGGTATTTGAACTGCTGACTTTTGGATCGCCGCCTAGTGCATAACCACTCTGCCCTCAGGGATCACAGTAGCTGTTCTATAACACTGGTCGAATGACTGGGTGGTGGTTAATTCCTCTTACTTGAAGAAATTAGCTTTCTTGGCGCAGTGGTGAAAGCACTCCACTGTCAACCTAAAGGTGGGAAGTTCAAATCCAGCGACCCCTCCATGGGGGAAAGGTGAGACTGTCTGCTTCTGTGAAGATTACCGCCCCGCCCAGCTGTGCTCTCAGATCACAGGGGCGGAATGGACTGGCCAGTCATGGCTTTGTTTCTTTGACGATGCTGTTGCAGAAACTGCTCACCTCCCAGGAGGCTTCTGTGGACAGCGGGGTTGCTCTACTGAGAGGGGCCGGGAAGGGGATGACCACTTGGGTCCAGATGCTCCTAGTTATTTGTTGAAGCAAAAACCGGGCAGATGATGAGGCCGTGTGGACTTGCCCTGATAAATGACACAATCCTCTGGACTCATTCCACTGGGCTTGACTGTGGGCGTGGCAGACGGAGCCCCACAGTCTCCAGGGACCTTTGGCCTTCCTGTGCTCAGGGGCCAAGCCAGGAACAGCACGCCTTGCTGAAACTCTCAGGGGGAGCAGCGCCAAACTTGTGGGACCCCACCCTCCCTTCTGAGGGCGCTCCAAGGTGGCAGCTAGAGAGTGGGGTGCCAGGGGAAAGGGAGCAGCTTTGGATTCCCTAAGGCCCGCTGAATTCCACCTCCCCGCGCTGGGCCTTCGTGTGTCCTCCACTGTACCACAGGTGGGTTGGAGCTCATTTGTATTGAAAGCTCTCTCCAGGGGTGACTTTCTATAGTGCCAGGAGCTTCGAGTATGAGATGGATTGGACTGGGTGGTTTAATGGTGGAGGGAATTGAACTGAGCCTGACTGGTAGGAGCTCAGCATGGCCAGCAGGTGGAGCCATTGCTGCACCAGGATGCTCAGACCAAAGCTGGAGAAGTTTGATTTTCTCCCCCAGCAAAGGGTCTTTCAGGGCAACCTATGACCATCATGGAGACCTCACCCCCGATTCCTATTCCTCCCAAAGCGTCCAGCGCATACCCTGATAAGTTCAGGTGCAAATATCATGTTGCTGGCCCTGAGACTGGACGTTTTTCAAAGAGAGGGCGTTTTCTCCCCTTGCCATGTTTTCTGGGAGTGGAGGGGAGGGGTGGTTTCTATACCTTGCACTCCTATTACAACCCCCGCCCCCCATCCTTACCACTCTTGACTCGTCCACCCCTCCTGTGGTCATAGCAGGCGAGATGCAATGTGTAGGTGGCTATCCCATGGGACTTGCCTTCCCCAGCTCCCAGTTTCCGTTTCGCCCACCCCACTGGCTCTGCTCCAAACCATGTCCCTCCCTGGGGCCCGGGGCAGGAGCCTCTGGCTGGAGAGGCTGGAGAGGAGAAAGGAGGAAATGGGCATGGGGGTTGCTTTTAAAGGGGAAGGGCTGGCCTGGGCCCCATAAGAATGGAGGCATCAACCTTTGTTTGGCCCCAGCCGCCTCTGCCACTGTTGACACACTTGGAGAGTTTCCGGAGGTCATTCAGTGGTATCCAGCAGCCTTCTCTCCCTCCTCCCCTTCCTTTGGCCAGGTGTGTGTGTGTGTGTGTGTGTGTGTGTGTGTGTGTGTGTGTCTGGAGGGCGGTGCTCACAGACATGTTTTTGCAGTTTGGCTGCTGCCTTCCTGCTGAGGGTGGACCCCAGTCCCTCCAGGAGCCGGCAGCCGGGTCTCTGGGCAACAGCTGCCCACAGTCCTTCCTTCTTGGTGTCTGCTCTGGGCTTGGGGGTGCCTGACAACAGACAGTGCACAGAGCACTCTTCTTCGGCCCCTGGCTCTGCACGCTCAGTCTGCAGCACCCAACATATCCCTCTTCTCGCACAGCCCGCAGCACACTGCCCTCCATCCCCAAGGCCTGGCCACGGCCGCCTGTGCGCTGGCCTGCCTTTCCCAATGACTGGGCGCACAGGCCCCCTGCAGGAGGAGGGTAGTCAGTCAGCAGGCAGGCACAGCCCACAGGCAGGGTCCCTGATGGTCCCATGCTCCCTATGGCAGGCAGGTGGGCCCTTTCTCAACTAGTTGGCCAAATGACGGGGAGGCAATATGGGCCTTCAGACCCACCACCTGGACAGAGGTACGCCACAGATCCATTCAGGATCACTTTAATTACAGTATTTACACACACGTTTTATTCAGGATGAAACAGAATCCACCCAATCCACCCATCCCTGGAAAGCTAATATTGCCCACCGTCATGGGACCACAGACCCCTGCTCATTCTCTGGAGCAGGGGGGGAATGACCCTCTAAAAACAGGACCTGAATGCCACCGAGGTCAAGGCTGTGGGAAGGAAGGGGCCTTTGGAGACATCCCGGGGCCCTGACCACACGGGGTACAAAGCACTAAGAGGGGCATGGGGTGGGCGAGGCCATTAGAAAGGGTTCTACTTTGTGTGTGTGCGCGTGCGTGCATGCGCGCGCTGAGGTTACAGCTCAGTCCCCGAGTTTGGGGAGGGAGGAGGGAGCCAGGCCGCACAATGAACAGAGCAGCCGGGACTCCAGCCTCAGAGTAAGAGGCTTCCTCCAAACAGTCCAGCCCAGAGGGGGGGTTGGAGGGGTGCCTCTGCTCAGAGACCTGGTCCCACCGTCCTGCCCCTCAGACCCAGGACATAGGAGTCCAACGAAGAGGTGGGCATGGCCTGTGAGAGAAGGCCTGGGCTGAAGCCATCTGTCCCCACAGAGGGATGCATGTGTGTCCATGCACTGCCTTACTCCCCAGTGTCGGGCTCAGTATAGCACGAGGGGAAGCAGGGCTCTGGGTGGAACTTGTGGAGAGCCAGAGGGGCGCTGGTGGCTGAACCCACGGCGTCTTGTTGGAGGGATAAAGGAAGCTGGTGAAGACAACTAGTTTTTCGGGCTATATCAAGACAAGGGTGTAGGTGGAAAGGATTATTCTGGTTTCCCTAAAGTAGAGGAGGAAAAATACAAGGAGGCAAAAGGTATGCTTTCCAGGCAGAAATTGTCATCCAGAAAAGACTGGGCTTTTCTCTGGGGGCTCCTGTAATGAGGCTGAAAAGAGGAAGTCTGGGGAGGGGGGCCTGGGCAGGAACGCAGGAAGGGTAGCAACACCCCTGGGGGCTTCTCTGGACCTGGGCTTTTCTCCCATCACCCCAGTAAGACTGGAGTCTGGAGCTCAAAGGCTGAGTCTGTAAATAGCAGGAGATTCCCTGCCTCTGCCCCAGGTGGAGAGAACCCCCAGCCTGGTGTCCTGCACATCCCTAGGCCAGTGAGAAGGGTTGAGCTTGATGGCTGTGTCCAGATGGAGGGGGAGGCCCTGCCTGGGGCACTGCCCAACCTTGTCCCACCCAACCAAGTCACAGTTCGGTGTCAGCCACCACGTGTTGTCTTGTTGAATGGCCATTCCTGGACGTGGCCTGCCCGGTGCCGTTCTCCTGAGCCCCTTGGTTCACACTGGCCTTTCCCTGGGCCTCGGGGGAGGCCCGGGGGCCAGAGCTATTGCCCTGGCCGCCACTGCTCTCCGTGTAATAAGGGTCTTCACCCTGGATGGTGCATAAATAAAGGAACATTATCTGGTAAGCAGGGGTGTGGGGCTGTGCGGAAAGGGGCCGGCAGGAAGGGGAGGAAAGTGCAGGAGGGAGGGGGAGGGAGGTTGCAGCTGTGTGTGTGCAGGTTTCCTTCTTCCGGAAGAGTGGTCAGGGCTCCAGCTCCTGGAGGAGAGAGGACAGAGGAGAGGCACCTCACCGTGCCACCGTAGCTCTGCAGCCAGCCCCATAGGGGAACAGCAGCCCCCAGCATGCAGCTTCCTCCCCACACTCGCACCCCAGCCTGGTCCTCCCTCAGCCAGAAAACATCAGAAGCAGGCTTCCTTGGGCCCCCTTCTTGAGGGTGAGGCCGTCCCCATGGGCACTTAGCATGCTTGCAAAGATGTGTGGCAGCCTGCCCTGCTTATCCCCAGCTAAACTATCCCAGAAAAAAAGGAATGAACAGACAATGTGACCTCACACCCCTGTGAGTGCCCTTCCTCCTATCCCTCCCTCCCCAGTTGGCCATATATTGCTTTCAAACGTCTGTGGGTCTGGCGTGCACACACAGGAATGTGCCTGTGTAAGAACATGGAGTGGCGTGTTTGGCATTGGGCCTGACATCCATGGACCTCCCCAGCAGATCACTCTGGGCCCCTTCTTTTCCCCAGGGTTTTGGCACTAACCAGTCTTTCTCCTGTGGGGCTCCAGCTGCGGCGGTTCATGAGGAAATAGCCCGTGGTACCCAAGATAGCCAGCAGGATCCCGGATGTCACCAGAGCAATCAGGGTCTTGCGGGAGTAGCGCTGGTGGCTCCCAACACTCTCTGCAGTGAAGCTGTGAATGCCCAGCTTACAGAGGGGACACAGCAAAGACAGCCCTGTCATTTGTGGAAGGCAGGTCCTAGACAGGTGCCCTGCCCACCTGTGACCCCCTTATGGGACCCAACCACGAATGGACACAAGAGGATAATGACCACAGGGGTTTTCAAAGCTGAGGATTTAAGACTGACAACTCATAATTAAGGCAACTCCTTCATGTGATTGGATCGGACATAGAAGGGAAAACTTTCAAAGCAGGTGGAGAAATAAGAAGGGCAGGTCTGGAGGACAGAAACCTCCTTGTTCATCCCCACACACTTCCCTGCCCCGTTTCCCCTTTGAGATGCATGGCTTCAGAGAGCTTACCTTCCCCAGGTCAGACTGGTGCTTTCCCATAAGCTGGAGCTTGCTGGAAAGTTCTAGAATTAGAAACAAGGGTTGCTGGACCTAGATGCTGAACCCACTCATCCTACTGTACCCTCCCATGCCATTCTAGAAGATGCTTTTATGGTCAGAGTGGCCCACCTCAGGAGGGCATCTCCTAATGCAGGCCGAGGTTTTCTCTCTAGCCCCTCTGATCAGAGCTCAGGATACCTGATCTGTACTCAGGGACCCCTGGCACTTGGTCCTCCCTGCCTCAACTGACTCCTTCCAAACTGCCTGCACAGACATGCCCCTTACCTGTTCTGTTGGCCAAGACCAGCATCAGACACTGGGGCTTTGTATCTGACTGGGTCAGGAGCAGGGAGCACCCCCCAGCCCTAGGGTCCACCTGCTCCTGTTCACACAGCAATCGGATCAGGTCCTCGCCTTTGTCCTTCTTAAAGTCCTCCTGAGAAGACAGAGAGAAGTGGTGAGCAGGAGAGGAAATTCCATTCAGCATCTCCAGCAAGAATTCTGGTCCGAGTCACATCACTACCTCCTCTCCAAGGAGAATCCATCTTTCTAAAATCTCAGCTGGAAATAGTATAAGCAACTGCAAACTGTATGTGCATGTATGTGTGTGCGTGTATGCTTATGTGTATAACACTGATATATATACACGTATGCAAAAAATAAAAACATAAGAAAAAAATCCCAATACTGAACCACACCAAAGTACATTGAGTAGTCAGGACAAGTGAGGGGCCTAGAGGGGTCCACTCCCAAACATCTGAGCACAAACTTAGGAAATAGCATCTTGTTCAGGGATCGCCTGTTTACACAAGTTATTTGAGCTAAATTCAAAAGAAATTGCCGGTCATGGGAGATAATGAACGCACACGAATAACCGAGAGAAAGGCGCTTTGTTTCAGCGTGACAGCAGCCCGCGTTGGAGGGTAGGAGAGATGAGGGCTGGAGGTCATCTGTGGCTTGGTAGTCTTAACAAGGTCCCTTCCCTCTTACTGCCCAAACCAATGGCAATTGAGACACTTCTGGCCCCAGGACACGCCACGTGCATCAGAGTTTGGGGAAGGAGGTCACCAGGCCTCTCTCCTGAGGCACCTCTGGGTGGACCTGAACCGCTGACCTTTCTGTCTGCACAATAATCATGTGCACCACCTTGGGGCGGCCGAAGGAGGCTCGAGGAGGACATCGTTCAAACTTCTAGCATCATCTAGTTGTCCATTCCAGCTTCACCAAAGACTAGAGATTGCTCCAGGTTGCTGACCGGTCCATACAACCCAGGAACTCGGCCCCAGAAGCTGAAACTCTGACCCCCCATCAACACCCAAGTCTCAGGAGAGGTATATGTTAGCAGTCCTGCATCCTGCGCTCAGACATCCCAGGCTTTCTCCAAGAAGCCTCTGAGCAGAGTAGCCTCCCCTGCACAGGAAAGCAACTGAAACCAAGATGCTCTCCTCCGTCCGGATGGCAGATGGCGGAGCAGGAAATGCCTGAGCAGCTCCGAGGGCTTTCCTGCCAGGGGGAACTTTCTGGGAGGTGTGCTGGCCATCAGAACGGAGCCTCTGTGGAGGAGAGAGCTTCCTGCCGTGGCTCCGCTCAGCCTGGAATGAAAGCCGGGTGTTTTCCTGCTCCTGCGAGTGGTGGCAGGAAAGCCCAGGCCCCTGAACAAGCCAGAGTCAAGGGCTCCTCAGACCCCAACTTTGTAACATCAGCTGGCATTGGAGGGAGCTGAGGGAAAATGACGGAGCCTGGATTAGACTAGATGAGCAGGGCTAACCCACTTCGAGCAGATCCTCCAGAAAGCCTCAGCGGCAGGCTATGGAGAAAAGCACCCTGGGGTTCAAGGCCACGGAGGCCTCACTCCTTGGGAAAGGACTGATTCTGCGGTTCTCCTTGGAAGTCCGTAGGTCAGGTCTCTGCTTCTGGAAAAACATGGTCTCTCTAAGACAGCGCCTGCAGCAGGGAGTCGGGACCAGGCGCGCTCTCTGGCTGGAAATGTTGCAGATGGCTCCTGCAGGATGGAAACCAGCAAAACAAAACCACTGCCTCCTCCACCCGAGGAAGCTAAGGAAGACGCTGTCCCTGTGTTGAGGTTCAGTTGTTGTGACACACTTTTATCAAGCCCTGAATAGAAGACCCTGCACGAAACCCGCTGTGGGTGCGTCGTGTGTATAGGGCTGGCGTGAGTTCCACGTGGACCAGGAAGGCTCTGTGTGTCTGTGCAGTCAGTACAATCAGTGACCAGGCACTGGACCCGGCGCTCCCACAGCCTTATGACATGCGTGATATTATTGCCAGCTGAAGAAACCAAGGCGGGACAAGATTAAGAGGCCACGCCGCTTGTGACGGTGTATGGATCATAAGGAAAAAGGTCCTTGGGGGGCGCAGTGTGTCTTCAGTTGCCCAACGTTTGGAGCGTCACACTCCCCCGGCAGTACTGTTCCAGGAAGCCCTAGCAATACTCTTCCACAAAGATTCCAAGCCGGGACACCCAGGAAAGCAGTTCTCCTCTGTAACGATCGATAGGGATCGCCAGAAGCAGGAGTCAATTTCGTGGCGATGGGCTGGTTGTTGCTTTATCTTTTAAACATGAGAAAGGTGCAACTGCAGTATTCTACAGAATAGAGAATGCAGACCCGCTTTTTCATGTGGAGTCTCAGAACAGGGCAAGAGGAAAAAACCCAAAACCAATCTCACTGCCACGGAGTCGATGCCAACTCGTAGGGACCCTCTGGGACATGGCGGAGTTGCCCCTGTGGGTTCCCAAGACGGAGACTCTTCCTGGGAGTAAGAAGCCCTATATGGAGGGGAAGCAATGGGGAAAAGCACTTAAACACAGACGCCACAAGGAAGTGCAGGTGGGTCAGCAGGCAGCATTCCACGCCCCGGGTTGGCAGGAGAAAGGCAAACACAGCCAGCTCCCTTGTTTTCTCCATCCTTTCAGACCTAAGTCATCTCACCTGCCCCAAGAAACCAGGCCTGTCTTCTGCTGGGCTGGACATCCACCCTTGCTTGGCCATTGACTAACTCCTGGTCAGCCAAGCAACGACGTCGCGTGCCGCTTCCTCTCTGGACAGCACAATGGCTGCGACGTAAGAGGTGGGGTCTGAGCAGTGCCCCATATGGAATTTGGGGACCACAGGGCACAGGATAACTGGGAGGTGTTACTATTATTAATTGCAGCAATCAGCCATACACTGGGTCATCTAGACCCTGCGTGCTGATGTCTAATCATAGTCTGCCTTATTGTCATTGTCACTTCTCTCTGACTAGCTGGTAAGAATCCTCAGTGGGGGATGGGGTGGGTGTGTGTTAACATAATTTAGGGCACAGGCTGCACTCAGCCGAGCACCAAACACACTGAAGAAGCCAGTCCATTGTTCAACTCAATGGCCCAACTGGCTTGGCCTCCACACAGGGTCCCTTCACCCCTTCCTTAGCCCCTTGGACCAAATTCAAGGGAAGAACAGTGGCCAACCACCCACTCTGGAATCCAACAGCATCCTTAGTGAATTGTGTTTGGGCCCCGAGAGGAGCAGGTGGCTCCTGAACAAAGAACAATGCTTCTCTGGCTTCCTGGAATAAACATCCTCCCCCAGGAGAGGCTGTTTCAGGGGAGAGTGGGCAGGAGCAAGCCACTCACTTACCGGGCTCTTCAAGGGCGTCCGGTTTGCAAGCCCTTAGCTACATCTGCTCCCACACTTAACTTTGCAAAACCAACAACAGCCACAAGAACAAAACATCTAACCTTTCTAGAAGTGGCATTTTCAAACTTCTCAGACTCCTTGCTTTTAGTGAATTTACAAATACACCCGTCAGAGCGTCCACCAGTTCCGCCATGCCTCCGTGTCCCAGGTGGTCACACGGACTACATTCTGTGAGGTGGGCACCTGTTCTCCCCGCTCCTCTTCTGAGTTGTCCCTCCCATCTTTGAACATAAGCTTGATGCTCCCTAAGGCGCCAAGCTAATCTTTCCAGTTGCTGCTGTCCATTGGATCCCATCTAGAAGGCTCTTCCAAGAACTCCTAATACCCAAGAGGCACACTAAGCTCTGGGCTTGACTGGCCATTTTTCCAAATGATGTTTAAGATCTATTCTGATGCCGAGAGATTTTAACCATCAACCCTCTGTCTCCCCCAACCTTCTTTAAAAATAACAAAGAGGAAGAAGCGTCCACTTCAATGTGAGGTTGACAAAGCAGGTAATGCGACTCTTCTCACAGGGTGGCTGGAAGTCACACCGTAAGCAAGCAGTAGGGCCCGGGGGCAGGTCAAGCTTTCTGTCTCCCCGGCGAAAGCTCTGTCCAGTAGGCAACGCCATCTTCCTCAGTCCTCCATCTGCAACTCATTTCTTTTTGCATGGAAGCTGACCTTTAGTGTTTGGGCAGAGGGTGAGGAAGGAGTGGGTGTGGGGCATATGAACTGGAGGCTGGAGGCAGCCTGCCAGTGGGTGAAGTCAACATGAAAGAATAAGGATGATGTGAGCTGTGGCCGAGCAAACACAACCTCTGCGTAGAAATAGATGTGGCTCTAGAGAGAGAGGTAGCTCTAACCGAGTGGCTGGATGCCCTGGCCAAGGGAACCACCTCTCCAACATCTTATTAGTGGTAACAGGCACCTGAGAAGGATGTGGGATTGCCTCACCCCCAGCCCTTTGGGGTCATGGAAGGGATGTCTACACAGAAGTGAAGGATGGGAATGGGGAGCGGAATCCTGGTGGGGCTCTCAGGAAAGCACTGGCTTGCTAACCACAAGGTTGGTGGTTCAAACCCAATAGCTGCTCCTTGGAAGAAAAATGAGACCTAGAGATCTGCAGCTATGGAAATGCTCTATAGGACCACTGTGAGTTAGAATTGATGGCAGCGGGTTTGGGGATGTGCATGTGTACAAAATGCATGTACGGAAGTCATGTTGGACAGTCCACATGGAGCTAATGCCCTGCAGCACTGCCTCAGAGGGTTCCCAGTGCTGTAATCTGCAGGGAGATGGTCTTCCACATCTTTCTACCTCAAAACAGCGTGTGTGTTTGTGTGTGTGTGTGTGGGGGGGTGTTCAAATTGCTGGCCTTTTGGTTAACAGCCAAGCACTTTAACCTCTATGCTAACAGGGTTCTTTTAACTGATCTCCCAGAGAGCACTAGCTCCCTGGGTACTTGCTGTGCACCCGTGCACAACCAGTGTCTGGCTAACCGGGAACAACATAAGCTTCCTGTCTGCCAGAGGGGCATGCAGTAGACCAGGAGCGTGTCCTCGCTGCACGAGTTTTCCAGGATGAAATGTTAGGGGATCCACACCTTTCTTGCTCCTCGTTAGCCTGTGGGGAGGCTCTGAATTTCCCACCATTAGAACCAGTTCCTCCAGGCCTTCTGACACAAAAAGTACAAATATCGCTGAGAGAAAATGAGGAGGCCCTTTGGGGCACAGGGCTACACTTGAGGCTGCTAACTGCAGGTCAGCCGTTCGAACCCACCAGATGCTCAGTGGGAGAAAGATGAGGCTATCTGTTCCCATGAAGATGCACAGCCTCGGGAAACCTAGGTAGGGCCACTGTGTGTCAGAATTGGCTCAGTGGCAGTACGTGGATGACACACAAAGGTCCTTGCTGGTGCCGAGGTGAGGCGCTTGGCTGCTAATGTCAAGGTTAATGGCTCCACTTAACGAGCTGCTCTGGCAATCTGCTCCCATAAAGATGTCAGCCTAGGAAATCCTTCAGGACACTTGTGCTGTGTAGTATACAGGATCCCCACGAATCAGCGTGGATTTGAGGACACAGAGCAACAGCATGGTGGCACAAGCCGTTAAGTACATACCCACCCAGAGGCACCCAAGACCAGCCTGATTCTGAAAGGTGTCAGCCTTAAGAATCTCGTGGGGCAGTCGTACTGTGCACCCAGCTCAAGTCGGAACCAAGCCACTGCGACGCAAGGCAACAAGCACCTCTCTTTTCACTTTCCCGCTCACACAGCCTCCCCAGAGCTCAGGGGCCTGTGCGGAGCCCCTCTCAGCAGGGGGACCATGTAGAATAGCCAGCTATCATGCAGGGGACACAGCACAGCTCAGGAAGTGTTGTTGTTCTTGTAGAAGCAGCATGTTTCAGGCACTTGTCTTAGGTGATTGCTGTTACCGGCAGCGGCCATCGATCGGTTCAGACGCATGCTCACCCTTCTGTGCAGCGGACCGAAGCCCCACCCGGTCCTGCACCTCCCTCACCGCTGTTCCTGCGTTTGAGCCCACTGTTGCCGAGGCCGCGTCCATCCCTCTTGTCAAGGGTCTTCCTCTTTTGACTGCCCCTCTACTTTACCAAGCATGATGGTTCCCGTGACATCTGAACTTTAAAGACCATTGGACACACGGGGCAAATGCTGGGCCATTAGTTCTCCATCCCGGGGGCCGAGCATCAACCTACTAGCAAAGACCTGTGTGACTCAAAGGAGCATTGCTGCTCGGGCCAGGGGGCCAGGGTAGAGACGAAAGATCATGAACACCTGCCTTATCTAAGTTTTTGTTTTTCCCTCTCATCAATGAAGTTGAATATCGGCCTCAGAGAAACACGGTGGTGTAGTCTGTCGATACACTTGTACATATACTAAAGTTGAAGTAAACAATTTTTGCAAACTGCCCTTCATTATTCTGTTATGTGAATTCACTTCTTCACAAACTCCATCGTTTCAAAGGGCTCACATAGTTGATTAGGCTTTGGGCTGCTATGCATGAGGTCAGCAGTTCCCACCCACCAGCTGCTTCGAGGACGAGGAGGCCTTCAACTCCCATAAAGGTTTATTTTTAAAACCCCTGAGGACAGTCCTAACCTATCCTCCAGGGTCGCCACCAGTCAGAATCGACCGGATGGCAGTGAGCTTGGAGTTTGAAAAGATTCCTGTCAGAGCAATTTAAAAAGATTTGCAAGTCAGGGAGACGCAAGTGGCAGTTACAGGTAAGAGATGGGTAGTAAGAGTGGACAAAATAATAACTTAAGCCCTCTTCAGAAATGCCGCCCCGTCCTGGCCCTTTCCAACCTATATACGCCATGGGTCACATCCCTGGTTCTCTTACGTGGATCCTGACGTGGAAGAGAATGTTTTCTTCTAAAGTAAATACCACTCTTTCCTTTGCCCCTTCCTCAGCCCAGAGCTGGGTTGCTGTCAGGAGAATGAATGTGTGGAAAGCAAAGCAAGGAAGCTGCGATGACTGTTCACATTTGGCTCTGTGCTATAAGTAAGCCTTGCCGAGCACAACAAGATGGAACACTGGAATGAAGAGGAAAAGAAAACAATGTATCATGGTAGACAGAAAAACAACACACCGCGGCAGATAACCTGACAGCTATGGAAATGATAAAGAATGAGCCACAAAGCTCCTGGCAGGCACACGCAAGCTCAAGAAAAATGACTAAGCCTGAGATAAACGTGCAGAACTCCACCAACTCCCTAATAGATCGGCCATCATCAAGCAGAATACAAAACGGGGCATTTATATTACAAAGAACTTTAAGAGATCCATACAGCTCACAGAGAAAACCATTTTTAACAAGAAAAAGGGCAGTAAAAAGAGGGGCACTTTCAATTAAATGGCTTCTTTTTTTTTTTAAGTTTTACAAGACATTTGTAAACTTTTCCTAGATGAACAGATTTTAAAATAGCTCACATTGTTTTATAGTGTAACAAAGGAAGAATGGCTTAGCTGGGTATTACAAAGTACTACAAAGGCCAAATATTTAAAAACAAAGTTAAAGCATGCATAAGTACAGACAAACTGAACAACAACAGCAAATCTCTGAAGACTATGCCTTGGGACATGTATCAGCTTCATGGTAGCCAAAAGATGCATGCTCATCAACAAAGGATGTGAACATTCCATAAGTGATGTTAGAAAAAGCAGCTATTCGAAAAAGAATACAGCCACATAGATTGTGCGTGGAGCCAAGAGTTAGCTATGAACAGGAGCCACAGAGGCGTCCACATGTGAGGTGACTAGGAGTCCTGGGGCGTGAAAAGGGTTAACAGCTAGCCCCAAAGCCAGAGGTTAGAATTCTCCCTGAAGAGCCGCAGAAGAAAGGCCTGGTGATGATCTGCTTCCGCGAAACCAGCCACTGGAAGCCCTGTGGAGCCCAGTCTACTCTGCACACAGGGGTCTCGATGAGTCTGAAATCAATTAATTTGTAACCGGTTTTATTTATGAAAACAAAAAATCAAAACATACTGCCAGAGAGTTGATTCTGACTCATGCGACCCTGTAGCACAGGGTAGACCTGCCCCTTTTTCCCATACTGTGACTCTTCTGGGAGTGGAAAGCCTGGTCTTTCTCCCGCAGTGGGGCTGGTGGTTCCAAACTGCTGACCTTGTGGTTAGCAGCATAACCACCGCACCACGTTCTTGCATTAAGCCCAAACTCACTGCCGTACACTGGACTCCTAGTCTTGGCTACTTACCTGTAGAACAGAATAGAACTACCTCTGTGGGTGTCTAAGACTGTAACTCCTTCTGGGAGCAGACAGCCTCATGTTTCTGCCAACAGGTGTCTAGTAGCTTCAAACTGCTGGCCTTTAGGTACAAAGCCCAAGAAGGAACTCACATCGCCATGAAGTCTCCTTTTTCTTAGCATAAAAGTCAACTTAAATCCATCAATATAGATTTTTTTAACAACTCTGAATAAGCTATTGCCATCCTATAGGATGGAATAGAACTGCCCCATTGGGATCCCAGGTGGAAATATTTAAGGAAGCAGACTCCCCATTTGTCACCTGGGTTTGAACTGCTGGCCTTGTGGTTATCAGAGATCCTTAAATATACTATACCTAAAAATCCCCACATCCACTGCCATGAAGTTGATTCAGACTCATAGAACAGAGTAGAACCGATCCTTTAAGGTTTCCAAGACTTCAGATCTTTATGGGGGAAGACAGCCTCATCTTTGTCCCTTGGAGTAGCTGGTGGGTTTGAACCACAGATCTTTCAGTTAGCAGTCTAATGTGTATCCACAGTGTCAACAAGTTAAAGCAAACAAACAAAAAACCTCACTACCATCAAGTTGATTCCGACTCTCAGTGACCCTCTAGGGCAGGTGGACCTGCCCCTGTGAATTTCCTAGACTGTCACTTGTAGCAGAAGTAGAAAACCTCATATTTGTTCCAAGGAGAGGCTGGTGGTTTCAAACTTGTGGTTAGCAGCCCAACACGTAACCAGTGTGCACCAGGACTCTTTTAAATGGAATGGAGAGCAGGCTCCGTACACTGGCCCGGTTCCCCTTCTTGCCTGAAGAATGTGCAACACGGGCAGTGCTTCGGGGCCACTTCGGATCCATCTCGCCTTTGACTTTGCATTTGTTTTGGACCTTGGCGAGCTCAGAAACCTTTTACTGCTGTCCGTTTTTTGCAGCCCCCACATTCTGTTACACAATCCCACATGGGGTTACACCCCACATGTTAAAACGCCTTGCTGGTGTAGAAGAAGAAAATAACCTGAGCATTTCAATGAAATTGTCTTTGCCTTCTTTGCCCACCAGATGGGGCCTCTCTACTCCTTAAACCCAGTATCTCAGGAGGATATGCAAGTCTAGTCCCAGTTAAACATCCCGCCCCTCCCCCACCAAAATCAAGGGGGCTTAAATTCTTAAGGAGATTGGGAGGGAGGGAAGGGGAGGGGTTAACTTACGCATGAGGTGGTCTCATTTTGCTCCAGGCAGATGCCCTGGGTCAATTTCACTTCTTTGATTTCTAAACATGTAATCTCTCCCTGCATTAAAATAATAATATATAATATATAAATATTTGTATAAGCCAGCATGCCTGTTCCATCCATTCCCTCCCCCTCACTCCATCCTGCCCCCACCTCTGTTCCAGTAGACTTTCAGAGGGGACTTTCCTAAGAGGTTCAAGCTCTCCCTGTGCTGCTGTATGGGCCACACATGGAGGCCCAGGTGTGTTGGAGGATGCTGCAGCGGTTTTCAAGCTGGTGTCCGGACCGACAGACCTTTCTTCCCAGACGGCCCTGGTGGACTCAAAACTCTTAACCTTTCTGTCAAATGTGTTTGCTCGGAGCTTTTAGGGAAGAGGACATTCAAAATTTGTCAGGGGCCTAGAACTTTTGAAGTCACATCCCCTTCCTTCTTCTCATCCCTTCATCATCAGTTTAATCAAATATTGGCCTGGAAGGAGCAGACACAGGGGAAGGGCCGAAGCCCTCCTTGTTGGTAGTTATGTAGCACAATTCAGCATCCAGGCACATGGACACTGGGGTGGTCTGCCAGATGCCTGGTGAGGCCCATTTTTCTCCTGGCCCCCAAGAGTCTCCACATTCCTACTCTGGCTCCCTTTAAAACAGAAACCAGGCAGGCTGGGCAGCCTCCTGCCAGGCTCCACCCCCTCATGCTTTCTGCTTGCCATGCAGAAAGGTGTTGACAGGCAGGGGCCCCAAGTCTGTGAAGGGCAGGCAGAGCTCCCACCCGTGGTCAGCTCTGTCCTCCCATTCCTTCAGACCTCCCCACTGCCTCCCTCAGCTTAGCACAGCAACCCAACAGGGGAAAGGTTATGTGTCCCAAACACTTTGGGAGAAGCAGCGCCATGCAGTTAGGGGCTGTTTCCAAATATTCCTAATGGTCAAAGCCCAGAACAAGAGGAGCAACCAGAGAGGACTGGATGGATCTCCAGGTAGTTGGAGACCCCCTTTTCTTACTACTCCCTAGAAAGGCAATGCCCAAAGCATAAAACAGCCTTGACCCCTGACTCCACCCTCTTTTTGCCTCTTTCCACTCCTTCCTGCAACACTTGAACTACCTGTTTCAAATGCTGATTCCCACAGGACTCCAATTCCACAGGTGGGATGAGGAGACCTGGGGGGGAACAAGGACTTGCCTACATATAAAGTGAGGAAGCTATTTGCCATTGGTGGCTCCATTCACTCACCGTAATGGTAACTGGAGTAGAAGGAGATGATGTATAGGATTGCGTGTATGACACCATAGGGCTGGTGCTGTTGGCTGGGCCATCTGAAATGTTTCCAGCAAACGTGCTGGGCTCCAAGGTCTTCCCTGAAGTGGGAAGGTTGGTTGGGGTGGTGGATACCGGGGTGGTTCGTGAGGTCTGTGTCTGGACAGAAGAGTTCATGGTTCCAGGAATTGGGGTGATCCCAGAGGTAGAGGTGAAGTTGACTGTCGACTCTGGAATAGACCAAAGCACAAATGCACACACACACAATTTCAGATTGCATTCTTGAGCTAAGTCTTTACAAATACTAGTCAAGGTATGGCCTTCAGCCTAGCAAAGGGAATCTGGGGAGTTAACCGGTCCTCACCCTGACCACACTTGGTGCACATCAACTGTAGGCACAGAGCAGACCTCTAACATCTATCAAAGGAACTCTCCAGACTTGGCAACCCAACTAGAGAAGCCAAAGCCCCTTCAAGTTGAGCCTGTACCCGCCTCCCTTCACGTAGAAGAGGCCACAGAGCCCTGTGGAGTCCTCCTGGGGCTCTCCTACCACAGCATGGGATGCAAGAATTGTGGCTGGTCAGCTGCCAAGGCATATTCTTCCTTCCTTTGGGCCTGAGAGTTGGACCCAAGAAAGCGATGACTACGTGGAGAGTGATTTAGGGTTTTCTTTAGGGTGATCTAAATATGGTACCCAGATCATTAACAAATAAGCTTTCTACTGACCTGAGAAAGGTAACTGTGTTCCGGTAGTCACATTGCTGTCTTGAGAGACCGGGTTGGGGCTGGTGTGGTTGGGGCTAAAGCTTTCAAGAATACTTAGTGTTGTGGCTTCCTGGCCTTGGTTGGACACATTTGTGAAAACAGCTGAAGAGATTCCTGCCGGAAAGGCAGTCACGTTGTGGGGATCGGCAAGCCCCAAGGCTATGGGAAACAAAGAAAAACTCATCTGATTCCTGGTCTTGAGTCAGGTAGATTCCATCTGGGACTCATTCTGCTGCCCCGGGCAATGGAGAAGCCTGCTCCGGGACAGGGAGTGAATTTCCCGCAACAGGGTTTTTTCCTAAGGAAGGAAAGCTGTCACTGTAGGCAAATATCTATTATAGTGTTATTTACAGGAAGGAACAGTTGCAAGCAACCAGACGAATTGTAATAAGATACATGCTGTACACCGTAGTGTATGTAGCATTACAAATAAAAACGTGAGGCAACGTTTACAATATGCGAAGCAAAATGCTAAAATGAAAAAAAAATGACAACTGGATATATATACAGGACGGCGAGGGGCGGCATGTCGCTTTGTTCCACCTGCGGGTGTCCTTTTTTTGCTTGTTACTCTCCATGCAATGAGCCATCTCTCCAAATCATCAAGAGGACCACACCATCGCCAGGGGAGCCCCTTTTAAGTCTCCTCCTACCCCTCCCTTTCACATTCCCCATCCCCCTCATCCTTTCCCTCAGGCCCTTCACGCTTGCTCTCCTTTCCTTTTGTTGAAGAGCTCAGCCTTAGCAGTAGCAGTCCCCTCTGGAGTTTAGGGGGTGCTTAGGAAGTCAGCTGGTGGCCTACAGAACTTTAAGGCTCAGTAGCTCACAAAATGTAGGGGGAGGGTGCGAAGACCAATTCTGCTCTGCCAATAACCAAGTAATTCAGTGTGTGTGTGTGTGTGTGTGTGTGTGTGTAACTAGAGTGAGGGTCATTCCCATCTACCTTCCATGGATTGTTGGGACAACTGACATGATGCTGCTGACTTACACAGTATAATGATGTTCCTGCCTCTACTTACTATCCTTGGGACCGTTTCATGGCTCTCCCTGCCCTGCCCTGCCATACTTCCTGGTGCTGCCCGGGAGTGCCATCCTGAGAAGTAGACAGAAGAACCCCCTTGGTGGGACTCTGCACTTTAGGAGGCCCACACTCTCTCTCTCCTGCCCCACCATCCCCAGACTGTGAGGCATCCATAGAACCAAGAGGGACATGCCCTCTCATTTAGGACATACTTTGGGGACTGGGATTCCCAGTCCAAATGGCTGTCCACTCACTGTTTCAGGATCCATGTGGGCCTTTCCTCTGAGTCCATTCCCCAGGTGAGAACAGCAGCTCTGCTGTCCGTGTGCCCCCTAGACCCAAGGGGGGCCAGGGAGAGGCTCTTTGCTTGGAGAATGTGTGTTGGGTGCGGCTGTAGGAATGCAAGAGTTTCCCCCCACTGTGTGGCTCAGAGTCAAAGGTAGGCAGCGGAAGTGAGTTAGGCCCAGGGGTCTGCTCTTCCTACAAAGCCACATTTGTGACACTGAATTCGGGGTGGGGGTGGGGGATCCCAAATTTGAATTTGACCTTCCACGTGGCCCTGAAATCATGCTTGTCAAGGTACAAGGGGAGAGGATATTTTACACACCAGTTAGTTGGTTTGATTTTTCACTCTAAAGTATTTAAACATGTCGTATATGGGTCTCTGTACTCCTGCCTTAGACCCTTACCAAGGTGAGGGGCAGATCAACCTAGAGTACCAGCCTCAAGGAGAGACCCCCGAGGGTCCAGGCTACTCTGGAAGCTTTTCGTCTAGATTTTTACTGTCTGCGATCTAGGTCTGTATTGTTCCAGGTAAATAACAAAATAGAATCACATCCCTTGGTTCCCACAGCATTCAGAGGGAAGTTTTAGCTTCAAGGCAATGATCCAGGTTGGTTCCAGAATGTGTCCCCTAAAGGGGCAAAGGTCTCACTCTTCCACCTCTGCCACCATCCCCAGCCTGCAGCTACTTGACGATCATGATGCTGAGGACACGAGTCAGGTCTTATCACCAGGTGATAAGCCAGGGGAAAAAGCGGTGTGACTATGTTGGAGATGAAAAACCTGAAGACAAAGGTGTTGGCTAAGAGGGAAGACCAGAGCTCAGAGGGACCAAGTAGCTTACCCTGGTTGAAAATTTCTCTTTTCTTTTGTTCTTGTTATTGTTGTTGAACTGATCGTGCCCAGCAACACATGCACCTGTTCACCGCTGCTACTTGTACAATTCCATGACAATTTATCCCCTGCTTCCAGTAGCACACCCCTTCTTACCCTCCTTTTTCTGGTCCCTCATTCACAGGCCCCCTAAGGGTCCTGGCTAACTTTTCCAGTTGCTGTTGTCAATGTGATACCATATGGATAGATCCCATACAGACAGACCTTACAAGAGTGGAGACCAGTCCCTGGATAAGGACATCATCATTTACGGTAAAGTAGAGGGGCAGAGCAAACGAGGAAGGACCTGCAGGAGATGGAGTCCCACAGTGACTGCAAGGACAGGCTCAAGCACAGGAACCATTGTGCAGACGGTGTAGGACTCGAGCAGGGTTTTGTTCTGTTGTGCTTAAGGTCTCTAACAAGCCACCACCACCACCACCACCACCACCACCACCACCACCA